TTTTTTTTTTTTTAAGATTTTATTTATTCATTTTTTTCCCCCCAAAGCCCCAGTAGATAGTTGTATGTCATAGGTTCACATCCTTATAGTTGCTGTACGTGGGACTCGGCCTCGCGTTGGACGGAGAAGTGGTGCCTCGGTGCGCGCCCGGGATCCGAACCCGGGCCACCAGCATCAGAGCGCACGCACTCAACCGCTAAGCCACGGAGCCGGCCCAGATTACATTTCTTTTTGTAGGAGCAGCACCTGGAGAGATGGCTGAAAGGCATGGAGATGGAGCTCACCCTTCCAACTCTTGTCTTTCACTCCTGGCAGTGCATTCTACACCCAAACCATGCACATGATGGCAGACTCACCCACAGCATAGCTGGGTAATTCAGACTGGTACTCATTTCCTGAGCCTATCCAGCCCAAGCGCTCTCCATTCAACGTACAGGTTTCTAGTCCATAGACAGCTGCAAAGATACAATATGTGAGATGGGTGGGAATAATTTGGGCACCCGGGATGCACTGAGGAGATGGACATTCTGTCCATTGGGAAGGGGCTGCTGAGAGAGTTCATTTCCCCTCTCTTCTCCAGATGCAGTCATGGATAATCAGAAACATTTGGTTACGTGTGTGAGTACTCAGGGCTTGCCCCAGCATGCCTCCCCACCCTGAGGATGCCTTTCTCTTATTCCTTGGTCTCTAATGCCTTTTGGCCCAAGACATTGTCACTGGTTTCATTAATTTATGGTCACGTCCTTCTCCTATCTTGCTCCACTGTTAATAACCATATTCAAAGAGCCTTTAACTTACATGTAAAATGGGCAGAGTGTCAATCCCTAAATTGATGTACACAGGTTACTCAATTTCTTATCTCTTAAAGGGGGTTGGGCTAGATTACAGTGGTTCTCAACCTAGGGGCATTTTGCACCCCAGGGAATATTTGTCAGTGCCTAGAGAAATTTTTTGCTTGTCATGTAACAGCGGAAAAACTAAAAAACCTTGCAGCTTCTCTCTTGGTGCCAGCCCTGATATCAATTCCCCCACATTGAACCCAGCATATATGGGGTTAAAAACACAAAAAGCATTCATTCCCCTTCCCTGCTTCTCTAAGGTACATTCACACGTAGATATTGGTTGTCTTGGCCTTTGTATCCCTGAATTCCACAAGGCAAATGGAGTTAATATATCCTTACACAGTGAATTTCTGCCTAATTACCAGTTTGAGGTTTGTTACAGGGAAACTGACATCCAAGAGTTATCGAGAAGCTGAAACTCCCCAACTCCTTGTTCCTAGTGCTGAATCTGCCATTCATCACGGAGACAGACAAACGGAGGACACCTGCAGCTTCCCTTATCTCTGCCAAATGCAGGCCCATAGGAGGACTCTGGGCTGCAAAGCCACAGCTCCCCCTCCCCTATCTAAAACCATGTAAACTTTGTAATCGTTAATTGGCAGCAGTTTCCTTTCTCGCCCCAGGGCCCAGTTTTGGGTGGTGCAGGAATATTGATCAATGAGGCCCTAAACCTCCTGCCATAGATAGAACAGCTGTCCATGCACCAGAATGTCGGGGACCCCCAGAATATCCTCCTCCAATAAATAATCACAGTCACAAAGAGTACATTCTTTCCCACGGTCTTTCTTTTAAAAACTCCAACTCCTAATGTGTCAGGAGGACTGTGGGTCTTGGGGCACGAGGCCACTGCGGCCTCATTTTGCTGGCAAAATTAACAATTTTTCTTTTCCTCGGTCCCTTGCCATTATGTTCATTGATTCAGCTACGGTGACAGGGTCCGGGTTTTTCTGGCTCCAGTCACAACTGTGAGGGAGGTGCTGCTATCTAGTGAGTAGAGGGTAGAGATGCTGCTAACACCCTACAAATACACAGGACGCTCTCTCTCTCACCACGAGTACATACTCTTGAGATACACGTAAGGTAACAAGGAATTATCAGCCCTCAAATGACAATAGTGTAGAGGTTGAGAATCCTTTGGCTAGAAGACATCTAAATTATCTTCTAGTTTAAAATTGTGTGCCTCTACTTATTTTAACAACCCCACCCATTCCCACGAAGGGCACTCACCCCTCAGAACCTGAGAATGAAGATGCTTTAGGAATGACCTATATCCAGCTGAACAAGAGGCCTTGAGACAGGGACAGAAGGAAACTTGTAGGAAACCCCAGGAACCCAAACTGTGTCCAATGACATCACTGAAATGAGGGAGTATGTTAAAGCATGGTTTAAAGGTGACTTCTGGGAACGTGATGTATTTGGTAACAGTGATGAACTGATGGACCCCAATGAAGAAATAGGAGGAAGTAGGAGGATTGGAAGAAAAATTTAAAAGTTAGTGCTTATAGAAAAGTAATTATTATTTACACTGTTTCTTTAAGGAATTTTGGGATTGTGTATGTCACAAAACATTTTGGGAACTCTATGGGGAAGAGCTATGCATACCATGAAGTTCTTTGTAAGTAAAGTTGGAATTATTAGAAAGTTAATCAGAGCAATGACATGATTATATATGTGCTTCATTGAAGCACCTAAGAGTCCTACAAAATATTGTGGGTTTGGTAGGAGAAATAATCTCCTGAGGAAGAACTATCAGGCAGCTATCCATGCAGGTTAAGAAATACCAGGACAGGGCAATGACTGGCAAAGTAATCAGAAATCAATGTGATCACAAATATTTCCATCCCTTTCCCCCCCACCCCGGACTAAGTTCTCCCCCAATAAAATATCTCTTTTCTAAGTTTGGTCAGAATCCATTAATAAATACAACTTCACTCATGAATGCTTCCACCTTTATTCCTCTCTACATACTCAAGATACAGACACTTCATTCATAACAGAGTTAAGTGACTTGTGCATGTTTATGTAAGCCAGAGGCACAACCACGGCTAAAACAACATCTGGCCCAGAAACTAGGACTGCTGAGAAGGCTCATAGGAGGTTCACCACCACCTTGAAGATCCATGACTTTACTGTAGAAGGAATGACTCCAGGGGGATTCAGAAAATGAAGTCATGAGAAGAAGGTCTGTTGTTTTTTGGATCTCGATGATCACTCTCAATAGTCAGTTGTGGGTTGCTGTCTTTGATTTCTTGCAGCAGCTTGTGGATTCGAGCATCAGATTCATCTATCTTCAATCTGGGGGTACAATGGAAAAAAAGAGTTTCTTGTTGCTTCAAGGAGATTCATTCCAAACAGTCAAGTGTCTGCAAGTCTCATGCTTTAGGGATTTGCAGAGCAGGGGCCATCGTTATTGATTATTGTATGCTGCAAAATAGAGTTCCATCTTGATTTGATAGAGACAAAAAGATATCAGGTTAGCACTGTAATGGTATAAAGCCAATCTGTGGGCGATTATCAAATCATCCTTGGTGTGAGATATGGAATTGATGAATATATCCGTGATATAGCTCCACATATGTGATATAGCTCCAGTTATGTGATATCTACTCCATAACTCACTTTGACAACTTCTCTTACTTGGTGGACCCAGGATGAGGCGCACACACTTGAACCAAGTCAGTTGGACCAGCTTTTTATCCCCTTGGCTATGTGATACTTGCTAACTACCACCCTTTATTTGACCTGCAATGATAGACAGCAGCCTCATTTCTAGGATTCATCTTTTTTTTTTTTTTTATAATTTTATTTATTTTTTTCCCCCAAAGCCCCAGTAGACAGTTGTATGTCATAGCTGCACATCCTTCTAGTTGCTGTATGTGGGACGCGGCCTCAGCATGGCCGGAGAAGCAGCGCGTCGGTGCGCGCCCGGGATCCGAACCCGGGTCCCCAGCAGCAGAGCGTGCACACTTAACCGCCAAGCCACGGGGCCGGCCCCTGGATTAGGATTCATCTTTTAGTAACCATATTCAGCCATGGGAATGTGGAAATGGGGGTCAACACAGGAGAGGGAATAATTAAAGCAAAATATGTATAAAAATAAGAGACAAAGGATATTAGCTGCCACATTTCTTGTTGGCATTGCTAGTCCTGGTTTTGCTAGTACATGAATCGATTTTTGTTTTCTTGTTCACGATTCACAATACATCCATGCAACAAATTTACAGTTATAAGATGAATAAGTTCTGGAGATCTAATGTGCAGCATAGTGACAGTTAATAATACTGTCTTGTATTCTTGAAATTTGCTGAGAGTGTAGATCTTAAGTGTTCTCACAACACACACAAAAGGTAACTACGTGAGGTGATGGATATGTTAATTAGCTTGATTTTGGTAATCATTTCACAATGGACACATATATCAAAACAGCAGCCAAAATAGCTGTGGCTAAAATAAGGGCGAACTAGCTTCAAAATGTTTTAAACACGACCCTCCAAGGTCAAACATAATTGCATTTATTCATGATTGTTGGAGGTTGGTCATGTGGTAGGAGAACAAAAATAGTTCCCACAGTAGAACTGTGTCTGGCCAAAAGTCTTGAAGAAATCAGAAATGGAAGGTCCACACTGGAAGATATCAATGTGTTGCTCTAAGGATGAGGAGTGAAGGTAGGTTTCTTTGGCTGCAAGCAAGAGAAAACGACTATAGCAAACTTAAAAGGGCTTATCAGAAGGATATGGTGTAGCTGATAGAATCAAAGAGCTAAAAACCACATTTTGAAAAGGGCAGGGCCAGCGCATCTGTGCATTTCTAGGATCTATGATCCAGGAAGAAGCCCTCCCCTTAAGCCACCCATCTTGAGATCCAAAGACCCAGGAAAGAACGTCTGACTGGCTGGTCTAGAGAAACAGTTCCAATGTTATCTTTGTGGGGGCTTTACATCTTGATTGAAACTCACCAATATTATCTAAAGCAAGAGTGCTAACTCACAAGGGGCTAGGAAAGGAAAAAAATTTAGTGTCCACACATCTCTTCTTTCGACTAGCAAGGTACCTTGGGGCCCGAGATTCATGTTAAGTAAATATATAATCTATTTCTTCTACATAATTATCGTTTTAAGCCATTAATTGTTTATGTTGTATCTGAGAATTTAAAGAAGTTCCCACACTCCTAGGAAGAGTTCTGTAGTTCTTTGTTGCCATGGTAGCAAGTAAACAACAGAACTCAATGACAGCTTGCTCAGATGAGCCGGTAGATGACAGACAATTGGTGATAGCTTCTACTGTCACAGACTACTCTCATCAGACAGCAGACACATTCCAGAGAACAGGCTTCTAAGGCTGACATTGACCTGCTAGACCTCTGTAACCAATATAGCCTGAAAACAAATGCTTTCCAAAACTTGACAGGAGAGCTGCAGTTTGATTTCCTTAACACCACAATGGCTGGCTGCGATAACACTCCCTCACTTAGAAGAGCCCCTAATCCAGCTTCTTGGTTTCAGATCGAGTTTTGGACTTATCCTTTGACTGACCTTACCTGCCAAAGCACAGAAGGAATCGATAGGAGAGTTACCTGGTGACCAAATATCAATGGATGAGAGACCAATGTTAGCTGTGGATGCCTACAACAAATTCCTGTGGTTTGTGCCCCTTCCAGACCTGCTATTGTGGAGAAAACACCCTGGGATGTAGGAAGATCTTACCTGAGTGTCTGGAGGGGGCAACTTTGAAGCTTCAAGGCATCACACAGCACCTTTACTCCACTGTAGCCCAAGGAATTCTGGCCCAGATCCAGAGTGGTCAGGTTCTGGTTGCTGCTGAGGGCAGACGAGAGGTCTTCACAACTGAAAGGAGTGATGGCACATCCCCACAACCTACAGATGAAACACAAAAATTCATTCATTCATTCAACCAGTGCTTACTGATACCATCCTATGTGTCAGGCACACTCTTGGGTTTGGATGTCCAATAGTGAACAATAGAAGTCTCTGCCCTCAGAGCTCACCAGTAATAGGAAACAGATGCCATTGCCAATAAATAGTGTTTCATATCCAATAAAGGTTATGAAGAGTAAGGGGTGAAGGGAGTAGCTGAGGATGGTCGCTACAATGGTAGAGAAAATCTGAGGGGGTTGAAGAGAATGAACCATAGAGAGATCAGGAGTGGGAGCTCCCCAGGGCAGAGAAATAGCTTGTGCAAAGGCCCTGAGGTTACACATGATTACCATGTAAAGCAACATGAAGGCAGCCAGCCTGAGAGTGAGCCAGGGAGGGTTGTAAGAGATGAGGTCATAGATAAGAGGGTGCCAGCTCATGTAAGGCCCTTAGGCCATTGTAAACTTCAGATTTTACTTGGAATGAGATGGGGAACTACTGAAGGTTTTGAGCAGAAGCGTATTACACTTAGAAGTTCTTCTTGCCGCTTGGTTGAAGAACTGTAGGGGAACAAAGAAGGCAGAATACAGATTAATTTGAAGCCTATATACCAACCAGATGTTTCCAGGACGTGTGTGGGGATGAGAGCAGATTCTGGATATCTGGAAGGGGGTAGCAGGACTTCAAAAAGGATCGAACTTCATATTTGAAAGGACAAAAGAAGACACATTAAGAATTTTGTTCTGAGTAAATAAAATAATCTTTTTTTTGAGCTGCAGAAGCAGCAACTTTAGGCAGGGAAAAAGAGCAACTCAGTTTGGGACAGATATCTAAATTCTGCCTATCCAAATTCTCAGAGGAAGTATAAAGATGGGTATTGGCTGAGGGTAGTAGAGAGGAGAAAGCTTTCTTCCATCTGGAGTTGTCGAACGGGCTGAAGACAGAGACAAACAGGAATCCTATAAGCATTCAAAGGGCTTGCATACGTATACACACATATGTACACACACACATATGACATAAGGGAATAGGTCATGGATTTACATTTACTCCAGGATTTAGAAAAGGCTAAATATTAAACATTCAGCATACTCCCTGGTACATTGTTGAATAACATGCATACATATTACATTATCATAATCAACTTCTCTGATGGATACAACTAGCTCTATTCACTAGAATGTATAACTGAGATTATACTGCCAGGAAGTTATAGCTGACTGGATAAGGGGCAGCCATCCTTCCCTATGCCGGTAGTATGTGTGGTTAAGAGAGCCTTCCATCACCATTAACATTGCCACTCTCCTGCAAACACATACATACCATGAATTGTAACCACCAGTGGTTCCCTACCTGCGATTCTGAGGGTTTGCTCACTTGGCATTCTCACCAATGCAAACTGCTATCATGCTGAGACCTTTAAAAATACTGTTGTCTGGAGATTGGATTGGTGGTTACCACAGGGAAAGCTGGGAGGGAGGAGGGCTAAACGAGGGATTAGGTGCATGTGTGTGGTGATGGATTGTAATTAGTCCTTGGGTGGTGAACACGATGTAATCTATGCAGAAATAGAAGTATGATGATGCACACCTGAAATTTATAGTCATAAATCAATGTTACTGTAATAAAAAATAAAAACCTAAAAAAACCTGTTATCTGGGTCTTACTTTTGGAGATCTTGATCTGAGTGGTCTGGGGTACAGCCTGGGTGTCGGGGTTTTCAAAGCTCCAAGCATTTCTATGATGCAGTAGAGACTGGGCACTACAACTACGCTATATCTTCTTGTACTGTAGAGGCTAGAAAACTGGTTACCTTTCGAGAGTCCTTCACAGGTAGGGCTCCAGGTTCAAGTGCCTCTGACTGATGGTACCTAATTCACACGGGTTTGTGAGAGAACTGAGTTGAGGCCATTTATCTGCTTGTAGAGGCAACGTTTTCTGGTTCAGTGTCTAATTTCTACCTCTCTGAAGGTTGGGAGCTGGGGCAGCAGTGGCTGCTTCTTGATGCCTTATGGCATTGCATCCTTGAAATTTTTAACTGCTGGCTTTTGGATGACCCAGACTAGAAGCTATTCCTTTAACCATCCTAGTGAATTTTCTCCCCCAGCTTTATGGAGGTATATTTGACAAATAAAAATTATATGTATTTAAGGTATACAACGTGATGATTTAATATATGTATACATTGTGAAATGATTACCAGAATCAAATTAATTAACACATTCATCACTTCACATAGTTACCATTTTTAAAAATTAAAAAAATTTTTAATTGATGTCATAATAGTTTATAACATTGTGAGATTTCAGTTGTACATTATTATTTGTCAATCACCATATAAATGCACCCCTTCACCCCTTGTGCCCACCCCCCAACTCCCTTCCCCCTGCTAACCACTAAACTGTTCTCTCTGTCCGTGTGTTAGTTTATATTCCACATATGAGTGAAGTCATGTGGTGTTTGTCTTTCTCTGTCTGGCTTATTTCACTTAACATAATACCCTCCAGGTCCATCCATGTTGTTGCAAATGGGATGATTTTGTCTTTTTTATGGCTGGGTAGTATTCCATTGTATATATATACCACATCTTCTTTATCCAATAGTCACCATTTTTTATTTGTGGTGAGAACACTGAAGATCTATTCTCTTAGCAAATTTTCCCTATTTTTCATTGTTGAAAATAGAAGTTGCTGGAGTTTTTCATTACTCTTTATTGAGATATAATTGACATACAACATTGTGTGAATTTAAGGTGTGCAAACACGTTGATTTGATACATTTATATATTGTAAAGTGATTGCCACCATAGCAGTAGCTAATACCTCCATTCTATCACATAATTACCATTTCTTTTTTGTGGTGAGAATATTTAAGATCTATTCTTTTAGCAACTTTTAAGTATATAACACTGTGTTATTAGCTATAATCACCATGCTATACATTAGATCCCCAGAACTTGTTAATCTTTATAACTGGAAGTTTGTTCCCTTTGGCCAATGTCTCCCCCTTTCCCCCAGCCCCTGGTAACCACCATTCTACTCTATGAGTTCAGCTTTTTTAGATTCCACATGTAAGTGATATCATATGGTATTTGTCTTTCTCTTATTTCGCTTAGCATAATGCCCTCAAGTTTCATCCATGTTGTCGCAAATGGAAGGATTTTCTTCTTTCTCATGGCTAATATTCCATTGTGTATATGATTACCGTATCTTCTTTATCCACTCATCTGTTGATGGACACTTAGGTTGTTTCCATGTCTTAGCTGTTATGAATAATGCTGCAATAAACATGAAAATATAGCTATCTCTTTGATATCCTGCTTTCATTTCCTTCAGATATATACCCAGAAGTGGGATTGCTGGATCATATGGTAGTTCTGTTGTTAATTTTGAGTAACCACCATACTGTTTTCCATAGTGACTGCACCAATGTACATTCCCACAAACAGTGCATAAAGGTTTCCTTTTCTCCACATCCTCACCAGCACTTGTTATTCTTGTCTTCTTGATGACAGCCATTCTAACAGGTGTGAGGTGACATCTCATTGTAGTTTTGATTTGCATTTCCCTGGTGCTTAGTGATGCTGAACACCGTTTCATGTGTCTGTTGGCCATCTGTATGTCTTCTTTGGAGAAATGTCTATTCAGGTCCTCTGCCCATTTTTTATTTTTATTTTTGCTGTTAAGTTGTATAAGTTCCTTACATATTTTGGATATTAACCCCTTATCAGATATACGGTTTGCAAATGTTTTCGCCCATTCTGTAGGTTGTCTTTTCATTTTGTTGATTGTTTCCTTTGGTATAGGAAGCTTTTTAGTTTGATGAAGTCCCATTTGTTTACTTTTGCTTTTGTTGCCTGTCCTTTTGGTGTCACACCCAAAAAATCATTGCCAAGACCAATGTCAAGGAGCTTTTGCCCTATGTTTTCTTCTAGGAGTTTTATGGCTTCAGGTCTTAGGTTTAAGTCCTTAATCCATTTTGAGTTAAATTTTGTGTATGTTGCAAAGGTTCAATTTCATTCTTTTCCATTTATTGAAGAGACTATCCACTCCCCATTGACTATTCTTGGTGTCCTTATCAAAGATTAGTTGACTGTTTTCGTGAGGGTTTATTTTTGGGCTCTCTATTCTGTTCTCTTGGTCTATTCATCTGTTTTTATGCCAGTACCATACTGTTTTAATTACTATAGTTTTGTAATACAGTTTGAAATCAGGAAGTGTAATGTCTCCATTACACTTGATAAAGATCAAGGTTGATTTGGCTATCCAAGGTCTTTTGTGGTTCCCTAGGAATTTTGGGATCTTGAAAAAAATTTTTTGTGAAAAATTCTACCCCAGTGGATTTTTAAAATACTCAGTTGAATTTATTCCAGTCCTTTGTATTAGAGCTGGGGGGATTTGCTCCAATGATATTTCATTTCAGATATAAAGTTCAGAAAAACATAACTTACCATAGACATCTCAGGTTACACAGTGGTTTCTTCAAAGCCTCGCACAGAAACTTCAGTCCAATAATTCCTATGTGATTCAGCCCCAGATCTAAGTGCGTGAGGCTTGAATTTTGTTGGAGAAGCGTTGAGAGATGATTGCAGCCTTCACTGGTTATGTTGCAGTACCATAGCCTAGAAATCAATCACATGAAGAAAAAAACCCTGTTAGTCCCTTACCGGTGAGAGGCACCAAAACCATGATTGTTAACCTCAAGCCTCGGGTTTTAGATAAGCTTGGAGATAATGGAGACATGGAAATGAAATCATGAGATGAGGCTGGCTTTCAGTTTGCAGCCAACAAGGGCACAGGGATCCCAGTCGTACAATCACAAAGAACCAAATTCTTCCAACAACCTGAATGAGCAAAGGAATGGATTCCTTCCTAGAGTCTTCAGAAAGGATCACAGCCCTGCAGACATCTTGGTTTTATCCCAGTGAGATGTGTATTGGTCTTCTGACTTATGGAACTATAAAACAGTTCCAGCAGCAATAGAAGACCAACACAGCTGCCCTTTAATTTTGATGAACTCAAAGTGATGGTATAGGCATTGGCCTCCACAAAGGCCCCCTGTGACTTAGCCAGACCCCAGGGAATAATGGTCATGTGATATATCTAGGGATGTGGGACCACAGGCAGCCTCAGCACCTGTGTTCCCCAAGCTGAGGGCCTTAGGACCTGGAGGGACAATAGGAATGGATGACAGATTTGAGGGTGACCCACATGGACTGAAAGGAGCCGATAGACACCCCCATGGCTTGGTAAATTTGTAAATTTGTAGAAACTTCCATGACTATGGGGTAATAGAGGAAGGCCCAAGCAAATTAAGCTTTGACAACTTAGCAAAATAGGGGCATGGATAAAAACACTGAGTTGAGGCTTAGAAAGAAAAGGACTTGACCTATATTTTCTGAGATTCATATCTTCTACAGGGATGCCAACTTGGTGAGATTTACTGTCTAAGCCTCAGTTTTATCATCTGCAAACTGGGAGAGATAAGGATTTTATAAGGCTGAGAGGATTCAATGAAACAATCTCTGGCAAGATGTTAGCATAGTGTCTGGCATATATTAGATGCTTAATACGTGTTGACTGCCATTATTTTGTTTTTCTGTTTAGATGTCTAGGATGGCAGCAATTTCTAACATAATTTGATTTGAATTTAGGACTAGTGGGTGGGGAACATCTTACTCCCTAGGGAACTTTATCTTATTTTAGTGTTTGGGGGCTTAGATAATGGGGAAAAATCCTTTCCTTCTACCTCTCTCCAACCATGAACTAAATACTTCATGAAATTTTAAGTGAATGAGTGGTTTTCAGATACTGGGTGCCTTAAGGTGTATCCTAGATTAAAACTAATTTATAGGAAAAGCAGACAGTTACTAACTGTCAGAGGCAATTTTGTAGATAGCAAGACCCCCAGAGATGTTAACGCTGAATAGGATCTACGAATAGAAATAATCAGTGCAGCCCCATTCATTTCTAAAAATTTGTCCTATGATTTTAGTATTAACGGGATTATATTGAGCTTGTTGGCAAATAAACACATCTACACCCAACTGCAGGTGAAGTTTGTTACATAGCTCTAAAAACACACATTAAAAAACTACTACTCAGCCATAAAAAAAGACAAAATCGTTCCATTTGCAACAACATGAATGGGCCTGGAGGGTATTATGTTAAGTGAAATAAGCCAGAAAGAGAAAGACAAACACTGTATGATCTCACTTATATGTGGAATATAAATCAGCACATGGACAGAGAAAACTGTATTGTGGTTACCAGGGGCAACGGGGGTAGGGGGTGGGCACAAGGGGTGAAGGGAGACATACATATGGTGATGGACAAAAATGTACAACCCCAAATTTCACAGTTATAAACTATTAAAACATCAATAAAAAACAACAACAAAACAAAAAAATCAAACCTGGAAACCAGCTACTTCTCTGAATCCCTGATAGAACATTGATACCACTTGTTGTAATTTGTTCTCTCACCCTCTCCCACGTCTCACCAGATCTCACCATCAGCATCACACTTGGTATATTCAGAGGAATTATTAAATGCTTGCAACTGTCCTACTTGAATCCAGTATGTGTGTGCACACACACATGCACACAGAGCCAGCAGGGACTTACACTAGGGTCTGTAGTTGACATTCAGGGTAACTCAAGCCCTCACACAGAAGTTCCACCCCATCATCCCCCAGAGCATTCTTTGCTAAACACAGGTGTGTCAGCCTCTGGTTGACAATCAAAGCAGAAGACAGCTCCTTGCAATAGGCTTCTGTAAGGTGACAGTTTTCCAACCTGCAAAAGCACCACACAAGTGGTAAGACAGTGAGAACATTTCCAAAGTTCAACTTTCTTAACTCTTCAAATACTAGAGTCCACAGCTACAGCCCTTCTTGTTAATTCCCCACCCTTTCTCAATCACGTGCTAGTGTTCACAGTCATGAAGGACCAGGGATGAGAGAAGGATAAGATGTATGAGACATCTTCCTGGGACCAAAAATGGGAACCAAGTGTTGACATCAGTAGGAGGTTCCACACAGAGTGCCCAGCAAGTCCAGGTGTTACCATTGTTCTTCTCTATGTGTCCCCAGATCTAAAACAGAGATGCTTCGTGGGAAGAGAGGACTGACTTACGACAACCTCTGCAGGAAGCACTTTGGGTGTCTCAGAGTCAAGTACAGCAACTTGGCATCCTCATCCAGGAGCTCATTTGCTGTAAGGTTCAGGCATGTGAGGGACTGGTTGATTTTGAGGGAAGAGGAGAGATCAGCCCACTGCTGAGTGGTGGCAGAACAAGATACCAAACTGCAGGAGAAATGGGAACAAGTCATTCTTGAGACCAAACACTGGAGAACTGTCTCCAGTTCTATCTCTCACTCCACTGCATTATGCTACACCCGGGACTAAATTATCTGGGGCACTGGTTGTCAAAGTGGGGTCCCTGGACCAGCTGCATCAGCGTCATCTGAGGGCAACCAGATAGAAACACAAAACCTCAGAGACTCTGGATGTCAAGTGATCTATGTTTGAAGGTGTCTTGCAGTCACTTGGAAGAGGTGTTAAGGCAATTCCTGGGCCATACACCCAGAATTTAATTCAGAAGATCCAGGAGAGACCCCCAAACTGGGATTTTAACATGTTCCCAGGGGTGCAGCCACTGCTGGCCTGGAGACCACACGCTGAGAACTACTTATTTAGAAATCCAGTCAATCAAGCAGAGCATGCAACATGGCACCTGTATTCTATTCCTGGAGATGGATATTCTTATCATGGGCAAGTGGAACTTCTTTGGAACATTATGTGTAACATCACGGCCTTCGGGGTGAAGTTTCTAAAAAAAATCCTGATTCTACCACTTACTATATAGGAAAATGTAGTCAAATTACTTAACTTCATTAAACCTCGTTTCCATCTTTAAGTTGGAAGTAAATCATACCCTCACAGTGAGTGTTTAAGGTTGATAATTCCCATGAAGTGCCAAGTGCAATATGTGTCACATAGCTAAAATTCACTAAAATTCAGCTGAAACACTTTCTTCTTAGAGTGTAAACTATAATGGAGGAACCCAAGTTAGCTAGGGGTTGGAACACCAAGTGGAATGTTAATTGCTTCCAGTAAAATAAGCCAAACTTATATGGGCCCTCCTCCTTCCATTTTGGGTATCCTTTTACTCTTCGAGAAACAAATTAGTGACACAAATCTTTGATTCACACAATATATGTTCCTGCTGAATCTCACAGGAAAAAGCAAGCAAGGTCATTACGAATGGTTGATAATGATAGCAGCTACTATTGAATGCATGTGTGCTTGGACTTGGTTTCATTCAATCCTCAGATCCTTGTGAGATGTGCAATATTCCATTTGCTTGATGGAGAGAAGAACTAGTTAAATAGTCCAAAATCATATGGGTAGAGGCAGAACCACAATTTGAGACAAACTGATCACCTTAAACTGTGTTCCTGTTACTACTCAAACGTGGTCAATTGAGGATCGGTGGAACCCCGTGATCAATGATGGTAATCATCACCAGAGCAACTTCCCAAGGGGAGATCTCTCAAACCAGAGGAGATCTCTCATATCAGAGGACTACCAGGAAAGGGAAAACCTGATGCTCCTGAAAGGTCCTTGCCTGGAAAGATGAAGCCAGTAGCTGGTATTGTGAATCAGGACATAGGAGAAACGTGAACCATATACAAATTATCTCTGACAGAAGATGATATCCTATTTCTGGGAGTTTCTTTGGACTCAGGGCTGTTATGTATGGTTGTCCAGGTTGTTCACTGATCAACACAAGTGGAAAACCAAACTCTAGCCCATTTTCTATTCTGGGACATGTGCCCTGGCTAGTACTATTTCCAGTTAGAATAAGGAATTATTTTTTCTAATTTACACAGAATTGTTGTATAGGCTTGTGGCAGCTCTGTTTATATGCTGAGGACTTCAGTGATGGTGAGCTATACCTCAGATATTGCAGATTACATTTCGGGTGCCTCAAGACCATACACAAGGGGGGAAGCATATCGTCCTGGTCATTTCCTTGAAGCGTCAGATGTGTCAGAGTCTCATGACCATCAAAAGCGATGCAGAAGTTCCGATAAGCATCAGGTGGGGAAATATTTTTGAGGCTAGGGAAAAGAAAAAATGATGAGGTCTTGAGTTTCTATACCTATATAGCATGTAAGTAGAAACATAGGACTGTCATATATTTAAGCTTTAGACAGAACTAATTTTTAATATTTTTCATCTTTATTGAGGTATTACTGACAAGTAAAAATTGTGTATATTTAAGGTGTACAACTTAATGTTTTGATATATGTATACCTTGTGACATTATCGCCACAATCAAGCTAATTAACATATCTACCACCTCAGGTAGTTACCATTTTCTGTTGGAGTGGGAATACTTAAGATCAACTCTCTTTGAAAATTTCAAGTATGCACTACAGTATTGTTAACTGTTGTCGAATTGCTGTACGTTAGGTCACCAGGACATATTCATCTTTTTTTTTTTCATGGAATTTTTTTCCAGTAACTTTGAGATCATAGTGTTTATAACATTGTGCAATTTCTGGTGTACATTATTGTTTATAAATTTCTTAGTAGACTTCATTGTAGTCACCCCAAGTAGTCTAATTATTGTCCATCACTGTACATATGTGTTCCTTTACCCCTTTCACCCACCCTCCAACCCCCTTCTCCTCTGGTAACCACTAATCTGCAGAACTTATTCATCTTGCATAACTGAAACTTTGAATCCCTTGGCCAACATCTCACTTTAGAAACTATTAGAAGCTCCAAATTCTTTAGTTATTGCAAACTTTTGCAAAGGGGAAGTCGGTCATCAACGGTTGTTTCAGACGAAAGCTGTTCTTCTACGGCTTTTTGAAAATAAGGAAGGGTGGTATCTCTTCACTGAAGTGTCAGCAGTTGGCACATTTTATGAGCACTATTTCCTGCTGCATACTTTGACTCTAAGGAATGCTCTTGCATTTAGAATTAGGATCACATGGCTGATGTAACCCTAAGTGGGCAAAGGCTCTTATTTTTCTACGTTGAGAAAGAAGCGATACCTGCAGCTAGAGCAAGTGTCCTTGATATGAAAGCTCACTTAGCTGATGAAGTGTGTTTGCTCTCCTTCCCCAGCCACCCCCCACCCAGCACCAATGTAAGGTTGCAGGACTTCACCAGCACACTATCCACAGAAATGAGACTGAGGGCCAGGGAGACTCTGAAACGCTGTCTTATATGGCAAAAGTATTCGTTCTGCGTACGTGTAAGTTATATAATTACCTTTGTCTGGTGTTTCTTAGCCTCATCTTTTCTTTCCAACTTTATTCAACTACATAATTTTTTAAGTCGTATTCAGACAGACATATACCCAGCCCAAGTGAATTTTAATACTCAGTTCTCAGGCCTGTTTCAGCACATCGATACTATCTCCCTATATCAGCGGTTCCCAGTCAGGGGTGATTTTGGACCCCCTGGGGATACTTGGCAATGTCTGGAGACATTTTTGGTTGTTGCATCTCAGAGTGTGTGGGTGCTCCTGGCATCTGGAAGGTAGAGGCCAGGGATGCTGCTAAACACCCTGCAATACAAAGGACAGCACCCCCCCCAACAAAGAAATATACAGCCCAAAATGTCAGCAGAGGTTCAGAGATCCTGCTCTACGCACAGCCCTATGGTTGTCATAATAATATTGAAACTGTCCCCAGGATCTTGATGTTCCTCATGGTGTTTTGTGGACATCCAAACCATATTTCACATTGTGTGAAAATTACTTCATAAAAAAATAAAATGGTAGTTGCCAGGGGCTGGGGAGAAGGGGTCATGGGGAATTATTGTTTAATGGGGATAAAGTGTCAGTTTTGCAAGATGAAAAGAATTATGGAGATGGATGGTGGTGATGGTTGCATAACAATGTGAATACACTTAATGTCAATGAACTGTACACTTAAAATTGGTGAAGATGCTAAGTTTTATGTTATACATATTTTAACATAATAAAAAGTTGGAAAAATTACTTTATATGGTTCTCTCAGTACACAAATTTAAGGACTGGATCTCAATTCCTTGTGTATTGAGTAACCTGTTGGAGTCTGGGATAGGAATTCAAATATTGCTCCAATATTAAAAATGTCAGAAGCTTGGTCATGTCCTTGGTGTTTCAATCCAGGGATTAGCTTCTACTTACACCACTTTCTGGAGATTACAGGTAGCAGAGGCTATTTTTTCACAAATAATTCTCACTGATGTGGTACTAAGGAAGCTCTGACTGATGTCCAGAAATGTCAGATTCTTGTTTGAGCCAAATACAGAACAAAGGTCCATCCAGAAAGGAAGCATGTGTTGATCATTTTGGGACCTACAGGGAAGAGACAAAGGAGGGGATTTACCAGATATTCCTGGAGAGAAAACTAACATTTATTCCTCACAGCGAAGGTATTTAGGGTTGTTCTGGGTATATTTCCCTCATAAATAAGTATAACTCTAAAAGTTGGACGACTTAATCATTTAGCACCACTATCAGAAAACTCGTTACCTAAGACATAACACTGGAGAAAGAACTTAAACTTCTTGCACAACAATCTAATGAAGGGTTAGAATAAGTTAAAATTTCAAGCATATCATTGATAAAAGATTGAGAGAAGTATACATCATTGATAAAAAATTGAGAGTAATATACATATCAATAGGGAATATGTGAATATCTAATGTTGTATCCATATACATAATGTTTTCAAGCTAATTTACAACTATATTTGCTAACCTAAAATGACACCCATAAAAACTTGAGAAAATATAATCTTTAAGTAGTTACATATTCATATACACTGACTTCTCAAAGAATATTTATTTTTGTTCTGGTGGTTGCTTCTGGCTGGTAGGATTTGTGTGGGTGACATGGCTTATCTTTTTCAATACTGCTTTAACTTTCTATTTACATATGGGATCTTTGTAATCAGAAAAAAATTATTTTGATTTTCAGGAAAATGGTGCGGGCACTTGAAACCAGAATGTGTTGGAAAGTTAAAATATTTTAGTTATTGACTAGGGGAGACTGTGAACCTGGGGAGTAGTCTAATATCTGAAGGTTTTCATGGAGGAAGACAAAAGAGCAAGTGTGCAAGGAATAAAAGTAACCTAGTAAGTTAAATATAATAAGAGATCAAAATGTAATTGAAAGCAGCATCTAGTATTTAAGCTCCTGTATGCCAAGCACCTTGAATAATTTTAGAATTAGACTTATTTAAAACATACTACTCTGAGCCAGCCCCATGGCTTGGCGGTTAAGTGCACGCTTGCTACTGGTGGCCCGGGTTCGGACCTGGGGTGCACACTGACGCACCGCTTCTCCGGCCATGCTGAGACCGTGTCCCTCATACAGCAACTAGAAGGATGTGCAACTATGACATACAACTATCTACTGGGGCTTTGGGGAAGGAAAAAAAGGAGGAGGATTGGCAATAGATGTTAGCTCAGAGCCGGTCTTCCTCAGCAAAAAGAGGAGGATTAGCACGGATGTTAGCTCAGGGCTGATCTCCCTCACCAAAAAAACAAAAACAAAAAAAACAAAAAAACAAAAAACAAAAAAAACATACTACTCTGACGTAGATACCATGGCTACTTGGAGATAATGAGATTGAGGCACAGAATGTATCTGATTCACCCCACATTTACTCAATTAGTAACAGAGACAGAACTCAAAGGCAGACAATCTGACCCCAACACCTATGCTCACTTCCTACCATCTTCTACCTCTCAGCTTGTAATTGAGCTAAGCGGATTGCAAATAAAGGCAGTCAGTTTCCAGAACATAAAATTTTAACTGAATGATCAACTTATTATTTTCAACCCTGCCTCTCACCCTTTTGAGGTTGGTCACCTTTTGAGGTTGGTCACTTAGTTACTCTATCTTCTGAAGAACAATCGTCTTTCCTCCTGTAGAAGGGCAAGGCGATTATAGAAGACCATGTTTTTGGGATGCTCTTATCAAGGCACTAGATGGAAGGGTTAATTTGAGTCAATGTGAATATCTTCCTAAGATTCAAAAGAGCCTAGAGAAGAAACAAACAGTCTCAGGAGGTGAGAAGCTATATTAGTAGACTTGATTGAATAGCAAGTCTCACAAAGTAGACATTTTGGGATTTGATATAGAAGAAAAAAGAAATCAGACAGAACATATGTTTTCTCAGCTCTAGGGTCCCTAGCTATTTAAGACTAGATTATACCTTTGATTTTACTAGTGGTCTTTGCCTTGATGAGAGGCACACTCAAAATATATGATCTTATTGTACATCTTGAGACAACATGAGGAGGAAAAGCTATTATCCACATAAAACTTGTGACTTTTCAAAGAGCACAGTTGATATGCTCTGGGGAGAAAAACTGAAAGACTCTGTAGGGTTAGTGTTAGCAACTGTCTTAGCAAGATAAGATAATGAAACCACTAATTCCCTCCTTATGACTCTGCTACTGAAGGAAGTGGTCTAATCAGAGAACATCTGTGATTTAATCACCTTGGGAGTTAGAGACCAGCAATGCTGTGATGGGTAGAACAGAAATTCTGGAAAGTGGCAAAAAGCCACTTTTTGAACTTTCATGAAAGTTCAAAAAGGAACTTTCATGAAAAACATGAGTTTGCAATACAGATCAGAATAGTCAAACCTAAAGACGCCCATTGCCTCCTTCTCAGAGAGGAGCTCCAAGAGCCAGGCAATCAAACTACGGTTAACAACTGCCATTAACTATGGTTAATTAACTGCCATTAACTAAAGAACACTGGCACCTTCATTGGTCTTAATCCTATCAAGGTTAAAAAGAAAGAAAAAGAAAAATAGAGACTGTTTGACTTGCGATCTTGGATGGAAGAGAGAGAGGAGGTTATTGGTGCAAATTTTCTTTTCTTTCACAGCATCTCTTAAATAAGTCTCCTGCAGAGGAAAGATTTAGATAAACTAATATGCAGGTCTGTGTAAACATTTGAATGAGAGAAGAAAAAATAAATTAGGATCTGGATGAAGAAATAAGGTCTGTGGACTGCTGGTTATCCGTACAGTAGAGAAATGTTCATGCCAAGCTGTCACAATCCTAATGCTCCCTGGGGGTAACTCAAGTTTATGACTCATTACTAAGTGATGAAGGAATGTGAGGGGATGTGTCAAGCAGACACCTCCACCAGGAAAGAAATGAGGATATTTTATTCTGGCCCAATAAATATGCATGAGGATTTCAGATAACAACCTAGGGATGAGGAATAGTTGAGTTGACAAGATAAACATCAGTATATTGGAGGACACTACACATTACCACGAGGTAGTGATTTTGGATTGTGAGCACAGGTCCTTATAAGCCAATAGACTTGAGTTCTAATCCCAGTCAAGCACTTTTCTGAAGCCAGTATCTTCATCTCAACATGGAAGATTACACTCTCCAGTAGCCACCAGGTTAGAAACAGTATTTGGAAACTCTGTATGAGCTCAGTTGATGTTACTTGAGCCTAAATCAAGAATAACAAAGACTCATAACTGATGGGGACCATCTCATTGTCTAAGTCTGTTGGACGAGGTGCCTGTGAAGAGAATCTCTACGATCGTGGATGAGGCGTAGCTTTCAGAATCCTTGTTGATTCCACCTCTGACCACACATCTTTAATGCTTTCCAGCAATCATGCCAAAATTGGAACAATCACTTCATACATCTCCTGAAATCTACACAACCAACACGCAGATTGGAACAGGTTGAGCCACTTGTAAAAATTGCTCAGCTAAAGAAAAAAGGAGACAGGTCTCAAAAGAAGGTCTGGTTCCAAAGCTCCCATTCCTAATCACAACATCGTACCTCCTGCCTTGAATGTTAAGTCAACAGGATGAAAGTCCACAAGAGGGATAATGCCGACCTTAAGCAAGAGATGATGGGAGACCCTGTCCTCTTCCTAATGGAGCATGGGATGAGGCTGAAGATAGGCAGATATAGCAGAGTAAAAAGTCAGAGTTCTTACCTCTCAACCTGAGCATCTGATTCCGATGCAGTATCATTCTCCAGGAATATTCCCTTTTCTACCTGCAGCGAAAATTTCTGCAAGTTTTGACAATGCTTGAGGCAGAATGATGCGTGTATGATGTCCATTTTATTTTTCAAGTGCAGGGACATTTCCTTGATGCAGGCCATTGCATCCTTCACAAGCTGCTCCTCCTGAGATTCGTAGAGACAGTACAAAAACTCCTTCGCGTCCGTCACTGAGGAGAAGGGTTTACCCTCATTGGACTTTATTCTGCATTCCAGCAATTCCTGCTTGACCTCCAAGGACACTCGGCAGCCAAAAGTTGTCTCCAGCTCCCTGGCTCTCTTTTCATTCAAAAGGCCAAATAAGAAGTGCCCCACATGGGCCAGGGTGGGGTTCTTTAGTCTTTCTTCCTTGGAGAGCAGCTTCTGCACATCCCCGATGTCCCACCTGTGGCTATCCCCATCTTCCTCCTCCTCCTCTCTCTCCAGGACATAGAACAAGGCAGCAAGAAACTGCTGGACACTGAGGTGGATGAAGGAGTAGCAGCCCTCACAGTCTTTGCCCTTCTGGAGGATATTCCTGTCCAGGAAAGGATGGAGGGCAGACTCCTTTACCCCAAGTCTCTCGAGGTCTTCTCCATCAAACACAGACGTCTGTGTCCAGACGCCCTCAGCAGCCAGGAGACACAGGGCCTCCACTGGAGCTTGGAGGCCCTGACTGGGGCAGCTGCCGGGAGCTGGCGTGAACTGGCTGCACAGGAAACGCAGGAACAGTGACGTGGTGGTCTGGCAAGTCGGGGCGGGGTCCTCCCCCTTCTCCATCTGCAGTCGCAGACAAGTGCAGACGATCCAGCACACGGCGGGGGCCGCGCCCATGTGGAACAAAGCTGCGTTGTTCCTCATCGAGTCAAAGGCTCGCAGCGCTTGAGCCTCCTCCGCAAAGTGTTTCAAGAAATACGCCTTCCTGTCCAGCTCTAAGAGCCCTTCGATTTCTATGAAGAGTGGCTGTTCAACCAAGAGCCGGAGCTCTCTCAGGGCCCCCGGTCGAGTGGTGATCAGTAAAGTGGCCTTGGGTAACATTTTTCTCTTCAGCAAACTCCCCAGGAGGATGGGCACCGGCTTCTGCTTCCGCCAGTCGCCACATATGTCATGGATGAGTGCCCCCGGGGGGACTCTCAGCTCGTCAAAACCATCGATGATGAACAGGATCTTCTGCGCTTGGGCTAGGATCTCTGGAATGGCATCCTGCAAATCTGGCCAGCTCTCGGATATCAGCTCTGCAAAAGTGCACGCCCCCTTGTGGTTGAGCTCCTTGCAGCTCAGATAGAAGGTGGAAGGGAACGTCTTTGCGAGGTGGTCCTGTGTCCAGTCCAGCATCAACTTCTTTGCCAGCATGGTTTTCCCAACGCCTGCAGGACCATGCAGCACCACCGTGTGCGGAAACGGCCCTGTAAGCATTTTAGGATTGCAGAATGGGATCAGCATCTCATATCTCTGGGCGACAATATGGATGTTTTCACTGGCCTCAGGCCAAAAGTTCTTCTCCCAGATGTGCCAGAACTTCTTCATTATATTTCTGTATTTATCCTGTTTACCTTCAGTGATATGAGTTGGGGGATAGACAGAATATAATTGATTATTCATTAGGGAAAAAATATCTTGTGTTAAGTAGGAAAGGAAAAAAAGGAGAAGTGGGGGTTTATGAAGAATCAGCTGACACTCGAGGAAGATATGATACAGACCTGGCTCTTCTCTTTCCAAACTTTCTTTTGCTTCTCCTGGGTTTGTGACATCCTCTCTCTGTACTTGTGTAAGCTCTGCAAAATACAAATTAAAGTGAGCTTGACACGAAAATAGGTGTACTTCTTTCATCAGAAATATGATGTGAAAGCAGGCTCTGAGGAATCCAGAATCTAATCTAATTTCTTTGTCCATATTATGTGCTGGGAAGTGCAATGCCTGAGTTTATAGAGATGAACAGAGCAGATGACTCCTGAAATCAAGTTACATGCCTCTACCCTATAGAGCCATAACAAGAAGTACTTGCTCTATCTAAACTCAAATGATTTATTGAAACTCCTTATCTATCTTTTCCACTGGGCTAGAACAGGCACCGGGAGATCAGGAGATAGACCTTCACCATAATAGCCTCAACTCATTATAGCCACTCAAGTATTTGAGTCAATAAGTAGTGGCATGCCACCTGTCAGGAATCAGACAACTCTAAGTATCTACCCAAGATAAATAAAAATATGTCCGCACAAAGACTTGAACATGAATGTTGATGGCACTGTTATTCAAGACAGTCGAAAAGTAGAAACAATTCAACATCCATCCATTGATGAATGGGCAACCCAAATGTGGTATATCCATACAATGGAATATCATTCAGTGTTAAAAAGGAATGAATTAGTGATACATGCAACAACATGGATGAACCTCAAAAACATTATGCTAGGTGAAAGACAGACACAAAAGACCACATATATCTAGAAAAGGCAAATCCAGAGAGTCAGAAAGTAGATTAATGGTTGTCTGGAACTGGTGGAGAGAGACCAGGGAGTGACTACATATGAACATGAGGGATCTTTTAGAAAGTGTTGTAAAATTGGATAGTGGTGATGGTTGCAAAACTCTGTAAATTTACTAAAAATTATTAATAGTACACTTAAAATGAGTGAAATTTATAATATATAAATTGTACTTCAATAAAGCCATTTAAAAAAATACTACCAGGCAGACTTGAGAGAAAGACTAATGTTAAACTGACCACAATTTCAGTTGAGGCAAGCCACCTACCTACAATAGGTCTCAATTTTCCCATCTGTGAGTTGATATTGTTAAAGTCGTCTGAGCATCCGAAGTGGAAAAATCTAAGAGAAACTATACAATGTACTCCTAATTTTTAAGAACTGAATTTCATATGAAGTTCTATGAACTGAATTCTCTTCAATGTTCATTTCCTCCCTTTATTCTTGTATAAGGGAGGAAGGCATTCTCCATGAGACAGTTGGTGATTATAAATAGTGAAGAAAATGAGGTTTTAGAGAGATGGGAGAGGACAGCAAGGAGGGGTATGTTTCGCTTAGCTTTCTCCAACAGCGAACGTTCTAAGACCAACCTGGCTCCTCGTCATCTTCTAAATGCTGCTGTATTTCTTCCGGGTTTTCACATTTTGGTTCCTGAGTCCATGTGATCTCTGAAGAAAAGAAGGGACATTATGGGTTTGTCATTGTGCTAGTATTGAAACTTCTGTTTGGGAGAGAGTGGGACTTCAAGATGGCTCAAGTTCAGTGATTGGTTCTCAATATTTAAGCCCATATTTCATAAAAGGTATGTTAAAGATGTACTGGAGATAAAATTAAAGTGTGTCAGGCCATGATCTCAGGCTTCCATGCCTTTCCTGGCAAGTGAATTCCTATGCAGTTCAGAACACATGGTGAGAGAAATGGACACATATACACAATCACTCTTTCCTAAGGGCATCAGAAAGACTTCATTGATCAATTCCCTGTTTCTGATGAGGTAGATAAAGTTACATTGTCTTGGGAAGGAATATAGGAACAGAGTGGAGTCATAACAGTGGAAGAAATATTTCAAGCTCAATGTTGGGTAATGAAGAGGTGAGCCTGTGGAATTTCTCTGAAAAGATATCCAGGAGGCCGCTGGACATGAGCATTTGAAGTTCAGGGAAAATACTGGTCTGAAGATATCCTTTGGAAAGTCTTTGGGATATCAATAGCCGGTAAGCCTCCAAGTGATATCAACCAGGACCAGCATGCTGAGTGAAGAAATGGCCAACCAGTCATCCATTTTGAAGATTGGGTGGGAGAACAGGAGCTCTGAAGGAACTGAGGAAAAATGATTATATGCAAGTAATAGAACACAAGCAACAACGTCATGTTGCCAACAGCAAGGTTTTAAACAAAGAACTCTCCGGTGCTAGTTTACTCAGAACATTTGATTGAAAACCAACTTCATGGCAGATGCTATTCCTTAAAGCATTGTCAAATGTCAGATCTACTAGACCATCAATTTACCTTTGAGATTTAGGTCGTCATTGTAGGACATTTAACATATTTGTGTATCCGTAGAAGCAGTCAGATCATCTGGGGTTTAGGTGTGAATGGTGGTGCCTTTATTTTTCAAACCACTCCTCCATCTACTATTGGAGCCCAAGTCACATTTTTAAGGATATTGGTGATGTCAAGAGAACAGAATGTTGAACATCTCTCACTCAACAATCCTTTTGACTAGGATTAGCAAACTTTTTTCCCCCCTGCAAAGGGCCAGATGGTAAATATTTTCTGCTTTTTGGGCCATACAGTCTGTTGTAACTACTCATCTCTGCCCTTGTAGGGCAAAAGCAGTCACAGGTTGTATATAAGCAAATAAGTATGCTGTATGCAAATAAAACTTTGTTTATATTCACTGAAATTTGAATTTAATATGATTTTAATAGGCCATAAAATATTCTTTTGATTTTTTTCCCCAATCATTTAAAAATGTAAAAACCGTTCTTAGCTCGTGGGACTACAGGAGCACATGGCAGGCTGGATTTGATTTGTGAGCCATGGTTTGCTAACCCTTGACTTAGGTCAGACTAAAATCCAGCTTATCAAGACTCCAAGGGAAAGCTCATGTTCTTTCCCACATTTGTGTGTATTTACTGATTTCTAGTCTAAATACTACCTCGTTTTAGCTCTCCATGTCTTACTACTGCCCACCTGCATGACAGTAGAGATAAGTCTTATATTTCTGTGCATCTCTAGTGCTCAGAACGTTATCTGATCTAATAAAACAAGTCCCTGAATTCCAAAGTCTCGTATGACAAAAAAGGTTGTAAATGAGGTAACTTACCTAATGATGGAGGCTTATTTTCCTGAAGTGACTTCAACGCTGCTTCTGAAAAAGGAGGAAGTGGAAGAAAATTGCACTTTTCAGACCCAGACCCTCATAGGTATACAACTCTGAGTTTCTTTTTTTTGTGTGAGGAAGATCAGCCCTGAGCTAACATCCATGCTAATCCTCCTCTTTTTTGCTGAGGAAGACGGGCTCTGAGCTATCAGTAGACAGTTGTATGTCATAGCTGCACATCCTTCTAGTTGCTGTATGTGGGACGCGGCCTCAGCATGGCTGGAGAAGCGGTGCGTCGGTGCGCGCCCGGGATCCGAACCCGGGCTGCCAGTAGCGGAACGTGCGCACTTAACGGCTAAGCCACCGGGCCAGCCCCAACTCTGAGTTTCTTTATGCTATTTTCAAATTTGTAATCTCCAGAGGCCAGCTAGGGTCAAAAATCCTCACCTACTTATTGAAGACAGTGAATATGAATCTAAAAACAGATTACTGGCTGGAATAAAACTGGCAATTAAAAAACATCATAGGATAGGAAGTAGAGATGTTTTAAAGATCCTTGCTGAGGAGCAAGAGAGAGAAAAAGAACGCTGTAGAGTAGTGCTCTCTAAGACAAATATAATGCCCGTTACAAAAGCAGACTGCCTATGTAATTAAAAAAATCTCTAGTAGCCACACTATAAAAGATAAAAAAGGTAAAACTATTTTTCATAAGTTTTTAGTAACTATCTAAAAGGTTATAACTTCAACATGTAATCAACATAAGAGTTATTGATGAGATAGTACATAAAACAATGCAGTTAAAAGCCAGTTCATATTTTAGTCTACAGCATACCTGAATTCAAACGAGACACAGTTCTTTTTTTTTTTGTGAGGAAGATCAGCCCTGAGCTAACATCCAATGCCAATCTTCCTCTCTCTTTTTTTTTTTTTTGCTGAGGAAGATTGGCCCTGAGCTAACATCTGCGCCCATCTTCCTCTACTTTATATGGGATGACGCCACAGCATAGCTTGACAAGCAGTGTGTCGGTGCGTGCCCAGGATCCGAACCTGCCAACCCCAGGCTGCTGAAGCAGAGCGCACGCACTTTAACCGCTTGCACCACTGGGCCGGCCCTCACAAACGAGCCACATTTGAAGTGCTCAATAGCCACATAGGCTACTGTGTTAGGCAGCAGAGCCCTAGATGACATTATAAAACCTTGGAAGCACATTGGAATCACTTGGGAAGCCTTTAAGAATCTCATGCCCAGGGGAACCCTAAATCAATTAGTTAAATCAGTATCTCCAGTGACGGGTCCTGGGTATCAGTATATTTAAAGCTTCCCAGGAAATTCCCAAGAACAGCCAAAGTTGAGAACCACTGACCTAAAACATGGTTCTCCACTCAGGGCCATTTTGCCCCCAAAGGGACATTTGGCCGTGTCTAGAGACATTTTTGGTTGTCACAAGTGTGGGGAGTGTGCTGCTAGCATCTAAAGGGTAGAGGTGCAGGGATGCTAGCATCTGGATACCAGGGATGCTGCTAAATATCCTACAATGCACAGGATGCCCATTCCCTACCAAATAAAGAAACATCCAGACCCAAATGTTATTAGTGCTGCTGAACTAAAGGAGGGAAGGGGTTTGAATTTGTGAGGGTGTATGAGAGTGTGTGTGTAAGAGATAGAGAGATGTTTACAGACATACTATATGGGGGAAGGAAACTTTATAAGTGGGAGTTGAAAACAAAACAGAGGGTCTATAATAGTTTAACATCTTGGAAGACATATGAAAGAATGAGATCATGAACACTTTTCAGAGAGTCTTGAACAGGAGAAGGGATGTAACGTGAGGAGGCCAGCATAGGTATATAACACTTGCAAGGAGTAGAAATAGCTAGGAACTAAGAACCTGGAAAGGCACCAGACTTTATGAAGGTCTAGCATTTGTGTTCAGGACAGGTAACATCCCCAAGGCTCAGTGTTATTTCTGTATTTCTAAAACCATGGAGACTGTTATTCCTTCCTCTCAGGACACAGTGTGGACTCATTTCTCCTTACCTCTGAGTTCATCCTTTGCTCTCTCAGACAGATCTGTTCTGTTCATCTTGTCAAAGACCTGGATGGTCACCATCTCTACCCAGTAGCTGGGGCATCGGTTGGTGAGAATTTCTGCCAGTTGCTTCCCATCAGCCTGTTCTACCTCCATCTGGGGAATGTGCTGTAACTCATCTTGCAGGGAAAGGGTCCTCAGCAGAGACTTAAACTTGCTCAACTCATCCTGGTCGAGCTGTTCCAGAAGAGGCTGCAGGTTGAAATCCAGCTGTGCAGAAGGCACCATCTTGTCCTATGTGTGAGATCTGAGCTTTCAGCAATAAAGAATTAAGGGAAGAAATGGAAAGAGACAGTGAATCGGTATTCTTATCTGAAATGCCGGCTGCCTCTGTGCCAGGAACTGGGCTATTCTCATTGCCTAACCTGCTACTTTAAGAACAAACTCTCCAGTAGAGAGAAAACTCACACAGAACTCTCTTACATCTTGGATTGACATAGTGGTTCACATTTTCAGAGTCTAGGGCCTTTTTGAGAAGATGCAAGTCCCTGAGGGTAGGTAGGAGTCCATGCTGATGGATGTCCTGTATCTAGCAGATCGTCTGTTTTCAGTAAATTTGATGTACAAATGAGCTAGTGACAACGATTGACTTTAGCTCTCAGTAATAACTTGACATGTAGTTATCTTAGGATGTTTATGGAGATTGACTACTAAACAAAGATCTTGAGTTGAAAATATCTTAACAGACACTAGCTGTACAGTTGAATAGGATGCCTTCCCAATTCACCGTTGCTTGAAAAGAGTCATTTCCTGACCTCAATATAGCTGGATTTGAAATCCTGTTCATTTAACAGTTGAGTATTTGAGCCAACAGTCCTAAGCCCGAATTTCCAGTTGTAAAAGCAAGTATGGCATCACCCACCTCATTAAGTGGGTGTGGGCATTCCTTTATTCAAATAAAAGGTCCCATTGGATGCCAGGAACAATTTTAGAACTAAAGTGATAGCTGTAAAGATGGGTAAGAACCCTGCCCACTTGGGGTTTTTCCTTAATTTGGGTACACATATGGGGTGTGGGGAAAGCAGACATTTCATAAATAAATTTGAGCAGAAGCAGGTGACATAAAAATATGAAGACAATGAGATAGGGCAGTAGAATGAGGGTTATTTTGCCTCATGTGGCCATGGACGTTTTCTTAGAGGAAATATCATTTCAACTGAAAACATGAAAAGTGCGAGCCGACAGTTGTGGAAATTTGTGGGGGCTAAAAGTCCCAAGCACAGTGAACAACCAGTATAAAGACCTGGGGCTGAAATGAATTCGGCATGTTTGAGGCAGAGAACACAGGTGCGTATTGGCTGGAACAGATGGACACCGGATGCTATCTATACCCTAGGATCGGACAGCCTATCCAGGCACCAGTTGCAGGTTAAATTAGGATTTTTTGATTTGATGCCAACTACAGCAGGAAGCTGCTCCAAGCTTTCCCGCAGGGTTACCACAAGATCTGATCTATATCAGAAGCACTTTCTCTCGCTGCTTCGGCAGAATGGCGAGCAGAATGGCGAGTCACGCCAAGGGGCTGGTAAAGAAAAATTTCTCACGACACTGGTTGAAGATGGTAAGAAAGACATGATTGGAGAGGGACTCCTGCAACAGGGATTTTGAAGTAGAGGAGAAAGATGAAGCTCAACTCTGACTACAATAAGGACAAGTGGACATTGATAGCCGAGGAGCAGGTAGGGGTCAGTGAATGGAAAACTACTAAGAGGAAACATCAAGGCTAGGGAGATTCGTGCCAGATTGACTCAACAGGATTCTTGCTGAGGGCAGGCTGGGTGATCAGATATCACCCTGGGGGATGGGGAATTTGATCTGATATTGATGGTCATCAGATACCCAGAGTGGAGGATTTGTGCTCAACTGACTCAACAGGACTCTTGCTCAAACTGGACTACGTGGGCCAAGGAGAGAGCCGGAGGACAAGGTCTAGTGAAAAAGAAGACTCAGAACGCTGACTCGAGTTCAGTAGAGGAAAGAGCCTTTCTCAGTGCCTACTTAGGATTCTGAATTCTTGCAGGCGGCAGTGGGGTCAGGGAACAACTTGATAGTCCCTGCTAGCTGCCAGGCACTGCAATCAGCCCTTTAGACTTGGCTCATTTAATCCTTACAATATTCCAGGTGCTATATTCTCATTGCAGATATTGATACTGAGGCACTGCAGAATTTGGACATATCACCTAAGTTTTTGTGGCCACAAAGCGGCAGAACCGGGCTCTGAAGCAGGTATAATAAATAATTCCAGAGTCCACATTTCAGTTGGTCACTCTGCCATCATGGCTGTTTGATCTTGGGCATAGTCCTGGAGAACTAATTGAATTCAGGTTGCATCTTTAGAGAGAAATCAATAGTTTGTGATTGACTGGACATGGAAAGAGTGAGAACAGAATAAGCACCCATTTGAGCTGGGTTCCTTCCACCTCTGGCTGCTTGGGGTTCCCAGATACCCTTCACAGTGAGGAAGGGATGGGGTTTAGGGTTATGGTCAAGAACAGGCTCCTCTGCTGTGTTCCTGAAGTGCACGCCCACTCTACTTCATTTTTGTTGCCAACTCCACCACAAGACCATATTTCAGCTAAGGGTGGTCATAAGACGTTGCTGCCCAATGAAATTAGCCAAAGTCTTTTTGGTGGGGCTTTTGAGAATGTTATGGCTGTCCTGATAAAAAGGGGCAGAAACAGCTGATGCCCTTTGACCTTTCCCCCTGCCTGGTAAGCAGAGATGATATCTGTAATCTTGAAGGTACAAGCCTCTGCTCAAGGCAGCAGAGCTGCAAGAGGGAAACTGGACCTTGTGGGGGTTAGGCTGCTGCACCTGAGTATAGTCCCGAGGTTGGTATGAGGGATAAAGACAGCTGAAGCTTCCCTGTATCTGAAGCCTCAGGTGTGAACATCCTACCCTAAAAACAGGAGACTCATCCCAGCTTCCACACACCAAAACTGCTCAACCACATACCTCATAATTCTATTTGTATCGGGGTTTGAAACAAATTCTGTGGACCACCCAATTTTTTTTTTTTTTACATAGGCATATATTTTTTTCAAAATTCACATAACATGAAATTAACCATTAACCATTTTAAGCAAACAGTTCAGTGGCATTTAGTACATTCACAATGTTGTGTAACCATCACTTCTGTATAGTTCAACATTTTTCAGCACCCTAAAAGGAAATCTCGTACCTGTTAAGCAGTTGCTCCCCAATCTCCCCTCTCCCAGCCCCTGGAAACCACAGACCTGCTTCCTGTCTCTATGGCCTTCCCTTTTCTAGAAGTTTCACATAAATGGAGTTTCACATTATATAACAAAAGCTAACTCAAAACGGACCAAAGACCTGAATGTGAGAAGAAAAACCACCTAACAAATTAAGGTACTCATGAACTGCCTCAAGTTCTATGCAGTCTTAAGAGACATGACATTTTTCTAACAAGGCTTTCTTCTCATATTAACAGAGGCAACTGTAATTCTCCCTTTCTCCCTCAAAAGGCAAAGAACCACTGCTTGGGATCCTCAGTGCTTCATTTTTTTTCTAGTTTGCAGGGTCCCTCTTGGCCCAATGACCTCCTCAAATTTAACTTCAGGTCTCATTTACCAGCAGATTTTGTATTTCTTCCCTTTTTAAAAGAAAGGATGGCAACTACCCACCCCCCAGTGCCATTTATATGCCAATCAGGTGTTCAGCGTATAACTTAGCCCTTGTTGAACTAGTTGAACGAGGTCATTGTATAAAGTTGATCCTTTAAAACATGGAGAGGGGAAATTTAGAGAGGTTAAGTGAGTGCCAATTTTCGTTCAGATGTTAAATGTTGAGTCAATATTCTAATCAAGCAGTCTTATTCCGGAACCTGTGATCTCAATTCCTCTGCTAATTGATTCAAATAGATACCATCCTAACATCCCCAGTAATCATATGGAAAAATGAGAGGAATTTAGAAAAGTCAACTGATTAAACATAGAATAAAGTGTTCTGCTAAGCTAGGAGACAGATTAAGGAAAACGTGTCAAAACTTGATGGGTTTTCAAGGCTGGCAATCATTATACAATACTCATTGTAGAACTACAGTGCAAGAGAGAAAAGTTATATATGCAGCATGATTCCAATCACAGCGACAAAAAGAACCTTACATGACATAGTATATGTATACCCAAGCATTTAGTGACTGTATTTACATTGCAACGCAATGGGGGATTCTTATTACTAGTCTTGACCTTCCTGTCTTTAATTAGCCTGCATTTTATTTGTATGAGGACATATTTAATAGAATAATGATTCAGCTACATTATGGAGACCTGTTAGAGAAGGACCAAAAAATAGCCTTTGTATTTAGCAGACAAGATCTTAAGAGCAATTTCAGAAGAATGGTAGAATAAGAAGCTAGACTGCAGAGGATAGAAACATTCATGAGATGTCTTGACTTGGAGACATGGGCTTAAAATGCTACTTCTAGAAACTCAACCAAGAAGAGAGAAATGAGAGTTTAGATACCAGCTTTGGGAAAAATAAGAGATTGGGTACCAGCTTCATATGGCAGCACATCAGCCCATTGACTATCAACGGTCTCTTCAATCCTTGATAGCATGAGATGTTTACACACAAAACATGTTATTCTATGTTGTTCTCATTTGGGAAAAGTTAATCCAATTTACATTCATATTCCAGTGACCTCAGGAAGCTGAGGTTCAGCGAGAGAAAAACAAAAACCGTTCAAATTTAGAGAAGGAGTCGTCGGTGGAAGCTCCCCTCCAAAGACTGTTGCCACCTTTGCAAAAAGGGGAGTTTGATTGGAAACCTTGGTAATCCTTTGAAGGCATGACATCCAAACAAAGAAAGAGAACAGGAATTTTTATTGTAGAGACTTAACAGTTGAATGAAGTAGAGAAATGAAGTAAAGAAGCAAGGATGTTACTCACCTGTCTGATGCCAGGACCTACTGCCTGACTATGAGGGCTACAGGTATAGCAAGCCTCCTATAAAGGAGTTGCTCCTTCTGCCCAAGCTCTGTGATTGGTCCTTGGGACTCACCCCCATTGCTGAGAACTTCCTGCATCCACCAAGATTACTAATAGCTGGAGACCATTTCCTCAACTCGAGCGTCATGTTCTCCCCAGACCAGTGGTTCTCCACCTTGGCTGCGTGTTCAACTCACCTACCTGGGGCATCATTTCAAAGTATCAGCACCCAGAGATTCTTATTTATAGGTCAGATCCAGGCTGCCTAGACGCCAGGTT